GAGAGAGAGCTAAAGAGACTTATTAATGAATAAAATGAGCATCCAAAGTTTGTATCCAAACACATAATACCTCGTGGTAGAGAACGGCTCGTTTGTTGCGTTTGGCTTTAATACGGCACAAATAATTGACCAAGGTGAACTCGAGCAGGGCCGAGAAAACAAATATAGTGCACACACCCATCCAGACATCGATGGCTTTGGCGTATGAGACCGGGGGCAAATTACTTTGTATGCCAGCGCCTAAACCGCAAAAAATAGTTTCTATCACAAAATGAGTGATCAGAAAATCACTACAAAAACACTGCTATTATTGTTATGTATTGTTATTTGAATTATCATTAGTTATTTGTGTCCTTTGAAGGCATGTTTTATTGTGTGATGTGATATACCTTTGGATGAAATGGTGAGAAGTGTGGTCACTCCCAGTGTGATGCGGGCCGGTATAGCCTCCACGTCCAGCCAGAAACTGACCCATGAGATGACCACGATCAATATGGTGGGCAAATACGATTGTACTAGATGATAGCCCAGCGCCCGCTGTAGGTCAAACTCGGCCTTCAGGCAACTGTATTCGCCTATCCATTAGGATATTGTATTTTAATAGATAATAGATTTGTGTTAATATGAGTCCCATTAGAAGTAATTATTAAATTAGTAGTTATTATTGAAAATAAAGGTTTACAAACCGATATGAAAGGTCTCTTTACACAGACTTGTGCTCACATTTGTAATCAAAAATTGCGGTAATTTTAGTTTGTCGTAGAGTTTGACCGGCGATACGGCCGACCACTTGAGGTTCAGCTCAGTTGTCGTCTTTGAGACTAATAATTGTATCCGGAATAACAAATTAAAGGCACAAAAATAACCATCATTATTATACTCATGTTAACCTAATAGTATAATTAAATAATCTTACTATTTATAAATTATTAATAAAATAATTTATGATAAATGATCCTGATGATACTGTATCACTTTTGCCTTAATAATATTACTTTATTAATTAAATAACATTGTACTTACATGATGCTAACTCAATACCGCACACTTGATTGTCCATTGGGTATCGGTATAAATCCATCATGCACGAAAAACGTAGCTTAAGTCTACAGTGTACATAATAAAGCGTTATTAATTAACTTCATAAATTTAATTTAGCTTATTTATTGTTTGCTAATTTACATGTATACTATAATTCTACGTAAAACCTGGTGTTTAATTAATAGATTTGCTTATTATGCAAATATTTTATATTATTTAATGCATAAATATATTTGACCTTAATTTAAAAATTTGCTATTTTTGCAAAACATAAGTCGCTTATAGTCTCCACTAATCCCTAATTATTAAGAATTTGTTTTAATAATAAAATTTTGTGTATATTTTGTATAATTATGTGTTTCTGTTTAGATGTTATAAAATAAAATATTTGCTACTTATTTACAATAAGTTAATCTAATATATAATAAATTAAAATAGATTAATATACAGAATATTCTATACACTATAGAAATAATCACAAAAGTAATATAAGTTATAAAAAATATTTGCAAACAAAAATTGTTTTGTTATTCTATAGGGAAAACAGGATTTAATATAAAGTATAAGAGATTAGCATTGGATGAGAAAAATGTTAGCTAGGGTTTCACCGATCAATACAAATATAGAGATATAAAAGTTATGTCTTATTTTGTTTTTGTTTATTATATGTTGTGTTTCTGTCGGACATAAAATATCTCAGCGATAATACGATAGTTATTGAGTCTAACAGAACGGCTCAATACATATAACAAAACACTGATTTAGTTAGTCGTTGGAAATACATAACAATAGGCTGTTGTTATGGTCAGAGCATCTCATCTCAACTTTATGTGTGATTTTTAGGCAAATATTTTAATAATAAAGTTTGAAATACTCAATGAAAATGTCTAGACATTGATTGAAGTGTGGGTTTGAATTTAATAATGATAGAAATATCAATGATTAATCTATGGGAAAATATTTCGATGCAAACAAATCAGTTTAAGGCAAAAGAAAAGTTTGTTTTTATGTATTTTCTTGCGTTTTATTAGTTTTGCGTTTGTTTTTATTGAGCGATAGATAACTGTTTTGCTTGTTTTGAGATTATAATGAAAGCCTAAGGAATATCGCTGTTTAGTATTGTGTTTAGTATTGTGTTAACGATTTGCTTAAAGACACAAACTATGAGAAGTAATGCTATAATAATAGTATTGATTATTTATAATAAAAATTTGATACAATTCTATTCAAAAACTTTACAAATTTAATCCACACCAGTAACAAGGTTAGTTAATTGTTTTTTTTTTACTAATTACTAGCATGTTAGTAAAACATTATAAAATAAAATAATTGCGTTAATTATACCTTAACAAAATTGAAAAATTGTATCTAGCTATAATGAACCAACACGACAAACCTGAGCATGTACAAAATATGACCATCGGGGTCCAATCTGACCAACACGTTGGGAACAGTGACGTACTGAAACTCGGCGGTCTTGGCGTTGGCAAAAAACACTTCGGGTTTCCAAATCATTTGCACTAATTTAGGGTCATTTAAATCCATAGCACGCGAACCGTTGCCCATCCGGAGCCGTTCGTCGCGCCAACTCTGCCGCAGATACAGGTCTACCTCGTAGTCCATGGACTCCGGGTTTATCGATCCGATTGATCGGATGAATAGCTCGCACGTCACGTCCGTTGGCGCGCCTGAAACACAGAGATGTGAAAAGTTTATAATTTTTACTTTTATCATAATGTATTATGATTATGGCAAATCTACAAACAAAACTAATTACGGTTAAATGATTCTGAACATGGTTATAGTAGAAACAACAACTATATAGTAGTTTTAACAAAATAATGTTACTACCATTTATTTTAAGTAACTATACAAATTAAAAACACTAAACAATAGTTGTTTTAAATTATTTATTTTTAAAATAAAAATTCAAATATTTAAACACCCAAATACCAAGAAAAACAATTAGGGTCTATTTAAAAGTCAACACTCATCGGGAATGGCTAACCCTCAGTGGGAAACCCCGGCATTTCGGGAAACATTCCCCGAATCGCTGACCACCGGCTCGCAGGACACATACCCTGAGCCCAGACTACGGACCAAAGATGTCGGTTACGTAAAGGGATCTAAACTAACAGCACTGGGAGACCGTCTGCTCCGTCAACCCGAGTTTAGACATTCGGCCCCTTATGGTCGGGACAACGAGGGTCGGGGCGAACCCCTATACGGACCGGCGCCCGTCGAGGACTATTACCCGGGCTGGTGGCCAGAGGGCGTAGACCTGGACAGATCGTGGAAGGATGACATACAGGTGCTGACAGCTATGGGCTTTGTGTTTGGGCGACGGCTGGGGTCGGGCGGATTCGGCGACGTGTATGCCGTGCGCGACACTAACGCCAACCGGGATTTGGCGGCCAAAGTGCTTGAGCTGCGGACGTATTTGTTTACGTTTGAAAAGCCTCTGAGTCTACGCGAAACGGCAGCTCAAATGCTCCGGGAGGTGGATGTGTTGCGCCGTCTGCGACACCCCAACCTCGTCGCCATAGACTCTGTGGTACACATCCGGGACCGCGGGTCAGGCTTTCGGTCGCTATTCGCCGTCATATTCATGGAGCTGTGCTCAGGCAGTCTGTACCGACTGATGCGGCCGCGCATGACTGAGCCCGACGCTCACCGATGGTTTGTGCCCATCGGCGACGCCCTCCGGTACCTACACGGGGAACGAGTGGCCCATCTGGACATCAAACCCGATAACATACTGTACGCCGATCGAGACGGGCGTCGACTGTATAAGTTGGCCGACTTCGGGCTGGCCCGGGTGTTCCCCGCCTGCCGACCAGACACTAGCGTCAGGTCGGGTGAGGTGGAGGGCGCCGACTTTTACCGGCCCCCGGAGGTCAGGCATATCAAGAACTGGTTTATGAACATCTCGGGCCACCCGGTGCTCGTCGACGCCATGAAGTGCGATGTCTACTCCCTGGGCGTCACTCTGGCCGAGAGTCTCATAGGCTCTCACGGGAGTCTTATAGATGTGAAACAGTTTAGTTACGTTAGACTCCGGCCCGGACTGTACGCCAAGCGCTGGGTTATGGAGGAGTTGGTCGGAGGGCTCCGGTATATGCAAAACAATCCGGTGTTGGCATTACTGACAGCTATGTTGGAGACCGATCCCAACGCCAGGCCTGGTATTGATGCTGTTATGCAACACGAATGGGTCAGTGTTGAGACCACACACTTGTAAAGCACCGGTAGTGCTTTGGTTTGTTTTGTTTTGTTAGCTTTGGGATGTGTTGTAATAAAATTGTGTGATTGTAATGTACTGTATATTTAACTTATTTAAATGACCATGATAATCAATAGCATGAGCTCAATTTGCATTAACGATGAACACTTAATATACATTTCCCACCAATTGTCTCGCAACAAAGTAATGACATGGGCTGTTAGGTAATTAACATGCAGTTTAATTTATTTTAGCATAGCTCTGACCAAACAGTATAGTTTTTAACGGATGATTCATAATTGCATCTAGTTTATTTTAATTTATGTGCATTATTTACAAAAACAAACACATGACCAGACGTATTGTCAAATCTTGATCATTATTCCTGTCATCTTAAAACATTTAAATATTTTTAATAGTGATTCTTACGATACAATATTTAATCATAACATTATTACTGTCACATTAGTATTGAAATTGTCGGTAATTACAAAATTGAAACATTTTAATCCCCAATTAAATGTACCTGGTCTGTCTTGATTAATACCCAGGTAAGTAAATTATTGTTACAAATAACTGATATCTACATAATTTAACATAAATACATGCTTAAAATAATTTTACCAAGAATTATCATTGTTCTAACCAAAATAAAATAATACAAATCATAAGAAAAAATCATAACTTAAAAATAATAACATAAAATAATTTTTAAAAATAAAAATTTTCAAAAACAAAAACCAATTAAACTGTGGGTAAAATGGGTGACATCTGGGACACACCGGCCGTTCACCTGCCCTTCTCAGCGCCGGGCGCTGAGTGGCAGAGCACAGATCCCGAGCGCCACGAAAAGCAGCCGCTCCCGGGTTTCCGGGAATACGCCGAACCGCGACTCAACCCTTCAGACAAAAGTTACATCAAGTCGTCCAAAGTGACCGCATATACAGACAAAGTGCTACACCGACCGCCACACACAGCCCCTTATGGACGGGACTACGGGGGCCACGGGTTGCCCCTATACGGCCCGTCAACCTTCGAGGATTACAAAGCGGGCCGCTGGCCGGCGGGCGGTGTGGACCTGGACCGGGCCTTTCATCAGGAGCACCCGACACTGTTGGCCATGGGCTACGAGGTGGCCGACAAACTGGGCTCTGGCGGTTACGGCGATGTGTTCCGAGTGGTGGAAACGGCCACCGGTCGGGAATTGGCCGCCAAAGTGTTGCAAATGAGCCGATTTGTTGAGAAGTTTGAAGGCGTGGGTAAACCCCGCAGTTTGCGGGAAGTGTCTCAAGAGATGCTCCGCGGTGTGTCTCATCCCCATGTGATGTCTGTCGAGTCGGTGATACACATCCGCGACCGCCAATCGGGCGTCCGCTCCCTATTTGTGGTCATATTCATGGATCTGATGAACGGCTGTCTGTTTGACGCCATGAATCCCTATATGAGTCAATTGCGGGCCAAACAGTGGTTTTTGCAGATCGCCGGTGCGCTCCGGTATCTGCACGACCGGCGTATCGCCCATTTGGACATTAAACCCGACAACATCTTGTACTCGGAGCCGATGGGCCAACCGGCGCAACGGGTGTACAAACTGTCCGACTTTGGGTTGGCTCAGGTGTTTGGCAAATACGAGCCGATGATGACAGCGGACGTGAGGGGCGCCGAGTTTTATAAAGCACCGGAGGTCAGGCATATCAAACATCGATTCGCACGACTGGCCGGCCGTCCGGACCCCATGTTTGACGCCGTCAAGTGTGACGTGTATTCGCTGGGCGTGTCTCTGGCCGAGAGTCTCATTGGTCTGGAGAATGTGCGCGACTATAGCCAGTGGCGGCTCCGGCCGGGTCTGTATGCCAATCGTTGGGTCACTCACTCACTGATCGATACGGCTATGTTTCAGGAGACAGATCTGGTTATACAACTGATTAGGGCTATGATAGCGACCGAACCCGACGCCCGGCCCACTATGGCTGAGGTGATGCAACACCGGTGGGTCACCGGCTAACTGTGCTTAATGTGTGGACAGTTCATTATACGATATATCAACAAAGCACGGGTAGTTTATTTGTTTTGAAATTCATAGCAGGTTTCTTTTCTCGCAAAACATTTATTTGTAACATTAAAATAATTTTATCAGCATAATTGGCCATGATTGAATAGTGTTTATAGATTGCTCTTCTTATTATAACTGCATTTTAATTATGAATAATTTATAAACAAGGTATACATTATTTTTAGCTTAACTCAATACCATCATAATAAGAAACATTGTTACTTAAAAAACTATTACCCGACAAGTGCCTAATATACTGCTTAGCATTGGCTTGGCCAAAAACCGAGCGCGCTCGATTTTTTTAGAGTGACCAGTTGTTCCTTCAAAAAATCACATGGATTTATATATTAATAATTTAATAAAAAATCAAATTGTTTAGCAAATATTAATCGTTTTGAGTTTAATTAACAAAATAATATATTAATTCAACTGTTTATTATAAGTAATAATATTAATATTAGTTTGAATTATATTTGTTGACCGGAGT